CAAAGGAGCTCAAGTCGGCGGCGTTCGAGTGCACCGTGCGAGTAGTCGAGCTGTACTACGACAAGCTCGCACCGTACATGCAGGCGCTGTACACGCTGACGCTGCAGGCGATCGAGAAGGCGACGCACGACCCGGCGGAGGACGAGGTCGGCCAGCAGGCCATCGAGTTTTGGTCCACCATCTGCGACGAGGAGCTCGAGCTGATCGAGGAGGCGCACGAGGTGGAGCAAGAGGCCGCCGCGCCCCTCTGCGTAGAGTGCCCCCCTCCCGACCCTTCACGGGCCCGCCCGATAGGCGGAGCAAGAGCAGCCGCCGCGCCCCCCCTCGCGGCCGTGCCAGAACTTCGTGCGCGGCGCGGCCGCCTTCCTGACGCCGCTGCTGCTCGAGGGCCTGACGAAGCAGGACGAGGACGACGACGACGACACGTGGAACGTGGCGATGGCGGCGGCGACCTGCCTCGCTCGCGTGGCGCAGGTGGTCGAGGACGAGGTGGTGCAGTACGTGACGCCCTTCATCGAGCGCCACATCACCGCGACCGATTGGCGGCGGCGCGAGGCGGCGACGCTTGCTTTTGGCTCCATCCTGGAGGGGCCGTCGCCAAAGGCGCTGCAGCCGTACATGGCGGACGCGCTCAACCTGATGATCCGGCTGATGCGCGACGCGTCGGTCCAGGTCAAGGACACGGCGGCGTGGACCATCGGGCGCGTGTGCGAGCACCACATCCTCGCGATCACCGCGGAGCAGTGGCAGCAAATGACGCGCGCGCTGCAGCCGGGGGAGCCGCCCGAGGCGGAGGGTGTGCTGCTCGCGGGGCTCAAGGACGAGCCGCGCGTCGCCGCCAACGTGTGCTCCGCGCTGCACAACCTGGCGGAGCACTGCGAGGAGACGCGCAACAACCCGACCAACGTGCTCTCGCCCCTCTTCGTCGACCTCGCGCGCGCGCTGCTCGCCTGCACCGAGCGGCCCGACGCGGGCGAGCGGAATCTGCGCGTCTCGGCGTACGAGGCGCTGAACACGACGCTCACCAACGCGGCCGAGGACACCAAGGCCCACATTGCCCAGCTGCTGCCCGTCATCGCGGGCCGGCTCGAGCAGTCCTTCGCGATGCAGATCGTCTCCAACGACGACCGCGAGGCGCAGAACGAGCTGCAGGGGCTGCTGTGCGGCACGCTGCAGGTGTGAATAGTGTAGTAGTGTTCACGCAGGTGGCGGCGCCGCGCGCTCCGCTCTCGCGCGAGGGGTGGCTCTTCACACCCGCGCCCCGCTGCGAACCAGGTGGTGACGCAGAAGCTGGGCCAGCTCGACCGCGAGATGGCCGACCGCCTCATGCAGCTCTTCCTCCAGGTCTTTGGCTCCAAAAACTCGACGGTGCAGGAGGAGGCGCTCATGGCCGTCGGCGCCGTCGCAAACGGTGCGACCGCGACGCGCCGCCCGCCGCCCTCCTTCAGCCCCGCGGCGGCCGTCCGCGTGAGGAGTACCAGACGGCAAGAACTCTGACCTCCCCGTGAGGGACCCGTGAGGGACTCAACACCTCAAGCACTCTCCGACGGACCCCGCGCCTCCTGCGCCGCTCCCCTCCCCCCTCCCCCGGCCCACAGCGACCCCACCAGCTCGCGACTCACCCCGACCCTCGCCCTGCCCGCAGCTGTCGAGTCCGAGTTTGAGAAGTACATGCCCCACTTCCGCCCCTTCCTCTGCCTCGGCCTCAACAACTACGAGGAGCACCAGGTCTGCGCCGTCGCCGTCGGCGTGGTTGGCGACATCTGCCGCGCGCTCGAGGTCAAGGTGCTGCCTTACTGCGAGGAGATCCTGCAGCTGCTGCTGCGCAACCTCCAGAACCCCGCGCTCAACCGCAACGTCAAGCCGCCCATCCTGTCGTGCTTTGGCGACATCGCGCTCGCCGTCGGGGGCAACTTCGAGGCGTACCTGCAGGTGACTATGTCGATGCTCGAGCAGGCCGGCATGACTGCGATGGACGTGTCCAACCCGGACTTGGTCGACTACTTGGGGCAGCTGCGGGAGGGGATCTTCGAGGCGTACACGGGCGTGCTGCAGGGGCTGCGCGCAGATAACAAGGGGCCGAAGTTCACGCCCTACCTGCAGGGGGCGATGCGCTTGCTACACCAGGTGGCGCTCCCTCCGGCCAGAGGCGCCGACTGCAGGATGCGTTGGGATCACGGCGCCGGCGCGTGCTCCCACCAGGTGGCCGAGTCGTGCGGCCACGACCATGTGTCGGACGACCTCTGCCGCGCCGCCGTCGGCGTCGTCGGAGACCTCGCGATGACCGTCGGGCCAGAGTTCACGCGGATAGCGAAGCAGGAGCCGCACAAGAGCTACTTGAAGGTGCTGCTGAAGGAGGCGCGCTAGCCTCGCCAAACGGGGCGCTGCGGCAAGCGCGAGCAGCAAACCCACCACGAGCCTGCGTCTGGTTAGGCGCGCCAATCGCCCAACGAGATGACGCAGCAGGTTGGCTCCTGGGCGACGCGCACAGTGTCCCAATAGCGGCCAGTCGTACCGCCGTCTCCCGCGAGGCGCGCCCTCGCCCCCTCGCCTCTCTCCCCTTTCCGCCCGACGCCGCCTCCCTTGCATCTCACCCCGCGTAACCCGCTGCACAGGCGGTTTTGGCCGCCAGCAACGCTCCGTCTTGGTTGCTGCGCCGGCCGTTGTATTCGCATCATATGCACGCCCCCACCCTCTGTATTCCGGCGGCACCCAACCCCGCTTCACTCTAGTTCGGCGTGCGGCGCGCTGGTCTGACGAGTGTCAGTGATCAGCGCCTCTCGCGCTATCAGCTAGGTGTGTCGCGCTGTGTGCTAGCCCTCCGTATTGCCCCTGCGCGTTGAGTGTTTCTTCTAACAAAGAGATTTAGGGTACATTGAAGCTGCAAGCGCTCAAGCTTCCTCAGCCACTCGATGTGTTCCTCTCTCTTCATTATGCGCGCTGTAGCCTCATCTCATTGAGCTGGAGAGTGGAGTCGCCGCCGGCTGCACGCCGCGCTCTATTAGTGAGCGAGTATTTGGAGAGAGCGCCGACGGAGTAGAATGTCCAAAAAAATCGCAGGCGCGCGACTTTTACCATTTTGCCCCGGGCGGGCCGCCGGGCCCTACCTTCAGGGTGGTGCTCACGCGAAAAGGAATCGACGCGATATGTACAAAGCATACAAGAAGAGGAGAATTTAAACAAAACAACTCTCTCTCACAGCAGACAGGCTCGACACAGGTGCGAACTGGCGCGTGCTAGTACAGAAGAGGAGAAACACCAGTGATGACGAGACAGAAGCTAGCGCGGACGAGAGCAGGGCAGACCCGGGGACGGCGGAGCCGGAGCAGACGGCATCGGCCGCCGAGGGAACGTTGGGAAGAGGCACGAGGAGGGCGGCGACCTCATCCTCAACCGACTATGGAGGACCCGTCGCCAGACAGTCGCCAGACGACGCGCAGGGCAGACGATGTGGAGGCGGAGCAGACGCGCAGGGCGAGACGAGGGAGGGAGCAGGACTTTGCAGAGATCAGCAGGAGGATGTACGAAGAGATTAGGAGCAGCAGGGACCCGAGGGACCATGTGGAAGACGGCTAGTGCTAGCCCGCCGTACTAGCCCCCCATCGGGAGGACGACCCCGGCTAGTCGCCGACCACACCCACAAAGAACCCTGCACAAAGATCGCACGGGCGGGGACCTGTTCCTTTTTACCCACCTCACAGTAGAGGTGTCCGTTTTTATTTATTTATTTATGGCGCAGCCAAAGAGCCATGCCTTGTTGCCTGAGAGGGCCTGACAACTTGTACGTTGTAGCGGAGTAGCGCTACATGTTTGGACACACGGCGGGCGCTTTCGAGGCGAGCAGCACAGCATTTTTCTAGCCAGCGTGCGGGACCTACTTTGCGGGGACGATAGCTACTTACTACTTATACTGCACAGTCGCGCTCCCAATACGTGCATCACTTTTGTGACAGGCCTCAGACTTTGAGCGGCCATATCTCGGTATAACTATTGATGAAAACTCTTCGGATTTGGAACGGGGGCCCGGCCCCAGTTCGAATGGCGATGAGTTCTCCGGTGGTTCATCAATAGTACCGAGAT